AGACACGATCCATGCCCCACAGATAGATATCTGAAAATCAAAATGTCCCAATTAGTTCCCTTCGTGACCTCATGGCATTGTTTTGAATGTTGGCAATCTGTGAAGCAGGCTTAAGTCATCCGTTACTGTTTTGGAATGAAAATAGTATTTCCCCATGACTCTGGCTTAGAATCACAGAACTGCTTCAATGTGTTTTAAATCTAGTACAATTTTCCTCTGTGACCTTGAAGGAAAATCAGGGAACAAGTGATCCCTGAAAGAGGGATTGATGACAGGAGTGATATATTCTATACCTATATAATTTTCCGTTGACTTGAGGATGGGTGGATGGTAGTGCAATTCACCCATTGTCTTTGTTATATACGTGGCCCTCAACCACAACGGAGCCCCAAATTTCTGCTGCTAAACGAAACAGTTAAAATGAGTTTCGGCCCATTTTATGACCTTTCTTGCCACAGTTGTTAAGTGAATCACTGCAGTTATTAAGTTAGTAATACGATTGTTAAGTGAATCTGGTTTCCCCATTGACTTTGATTGACAGAAGGTCACCAGAGGTGATTATGGGATACTGCAATCGTCATAAATAGGAGTTGGTTGCCAAGCATCTGAATTTTGATCATGTGACCATGGGGATGCTACAACAGTCATATGTGCAAAGAATGGTCGTAAATCACTTTTTTCAGCATCATTGTAACTTCAGTCAGTAAATGAATGATTGTAAGCCGAGGATTACCCATACGTTGACTCTTTATAAGTTTACATCATGCTCACATTCAAAATAGCATATATTCAGTAAATACCTGCATTCAGAATGCACAATTCATGGGATTCATCATCCATTTGATTGAGAGGATTCTGTAATGATGGCGATGATATTAGTGGGACAACTATGTCTATTCTTTTACTCCTTGAGAAGAGTGGGCTCTCTGTACTTTCTTTGTTCTGTTTTTCCTTTATAACTAATGGCTGTGAAGGAATGCGCTCAGTATGGAGAACGCTCTTGAACAGAAGTCATACATACCTTTTATTATTACTCATGCAACACACTCCAGGTTGTTTTCATACTGCTAAATAGTTGTTTAGTCAACATGAAGTGCAGAAAAAAATCTGACTGAAGTGAGAAGGAAACAAATTTGTTATTGGCTGGGGGAATTGTGTTCCTAGACTCTGAGGGCTAACTAATCAGAAGAGAATATTATAAGCGAATTGAGTTTATTTTGGTTCTGGAGCTATAGGAAGTAGCTAAATTCATACATGTGCAAAAGTCCAAATGTTTCTGGTTTTGATTCGTAGCTTGCTGAAGCAGGGATGGGCATGCAAATGAACCAAGCTTTGCCTTGGATCTCCTAATGAATGTGCTGAATTTCAGTCATGATACTCCATATTAACTGATTTTTATTATTAAGCAAAGAAAGGAAACAAAAGCTTCCTATCTTTGTAGCCATGAGAGAAGAGAGAGGCATATATATATAAGCCTAAGCCTGTTCTGTGATAAGCCATTTATTGTTATAGTCAAATGCATCTATAAGTTTAGTTAGAGCATTGAAAAGTATATGAAATCAGATTACTTTTCAAAGGTTTAAATGCATATATATTCATGAAATCACACCTAAATCTGCCTTCCCAACATAAGAATTGTGCCTGATTGTAGAATACGGGCAGGTGTGTATAGGATGAGTTTGCAATAAAGGTAAGCTATTTAAGTGCACATATAATAATAGTATAAATAATTATAATTATACCAGTTTTTGTCTTCTTTTTGTTTCTCGTGGCTTCCTATTTTCATTTTATTTTTTTATTTTTATCCATTACTCATACCCAGTTTCCTGTTGTGATTAAAGTGCTGGACTAGTAACCAAGAGGCACATGACCCCCCCCCCCAAGACACTGCAACAATCACAAATAGAGTCAGTTTTCAAGCATCGGAATATAAATCACGTGACCATGGGGAATGCTGCAACGATCGTGTGAAAAATGGTCATGTCACTTTTTTTGAGTGCCGTTGAACAGTCACGAAATAAACTGTTGTAAGTCGAAGACTACCAGCAGACTATCATATTTAGCCAAGAACCATAACTGGAATTTGAGCATATGCTGCAAGGAGCTCCCATCAAACAAGTGTCATGGGAAAAGGAATCTGCGTAGCTATGAAATTCTGGCAGCAAAAATTCTAGATGGAAAAGTGCAGGTTTTGTCTGTGGATTCAAAGTTCAATCCTCAGGACCCCCAGGAAGGGAAAATACCTTCCTGAAAGCTTGTAGCACGGCTAAATACTCAGCACTGAAAAAATTGGCAAGATGGACCAATAACCTAGATTCCATAAAGGTAGCATGTTGTGTTCCTATGTGCTGGAGCAAGCTGACATAGGAACATACCTCACTGTCTCCAAGTTCACACGAGCGGGGATGTATGTAACTCTCAAGACATACAGTAGATCAGCTCTTCCTCCTTTCTTTTAATTCAACTGGGTGGCAAAGAACCAAATCTTACAGAAGAAAACATTACCAACTTGTCTTCGTGACAGAACATTGAGTAGGTATAAAATCGCAATGGTCTCTATGCCAGGTTTTGTTTTTTGTTTGTTTTTTAAAATCTTCCCTGCTTCTAAGATAAAAGCTTAATTTGATATTTTTGTAGTTATATAACAGTAATATTTTGTGACATTTTGTATTGTGACACTATAGATGAAATTGTCATCGGACTGACACCCTTTACTGTTTATTACTTAATTAGAACTGTTAACAACACTGCAGAGAAGCGTGCTAATCTGCCATCACATATTATGAAAACAACGTTATTGTTACAAACACCAACACCCACTCAACAGGATAGTTCTAAGATGGCAGTTTCTGTTAAAAAAAGAGAGAGAGAAAGAGAAAGAGAAAAAACCTGATTTGTTTAATGGACACTTTAGCAGTGAAGAAAAAGAAGTTGATAGCAACTTCTAGCAATTATCTTTCGAAATGAAAATATTTGGTGTAGTATCAGTTTAATGGGGATTTTTTTTTTTTGGTTAACACGTTTTAGAATTGAAATTCACATAGTCGGGAAACAATAACCACTGTAAATGTTTAGCCCTTGAAATTTCTGAAGGTTAAACTTGTCCTCCTGGAAGACTTTTGAAGAAAAGTGGCAATAGTCCATCTGCTCCCTCTGCTGGTTATTAACATGTTACTTGCCTGTCTAGACAATTTACTCATACCATACTCAATCTCTTCAGAGGAACTGTATCTGCTTGTTTCTATCTCATGCTTAGCTGCTCATATGCCTCCTTTTGTCTTTCTCAGACAATGAGCTAAAGGAAAATGCCCACTTGATCAAAATACAAGGACCAAACCAAGCATTTTATTTTTATAACATTTTCTTTATTAAACAAATAAACAAACACAAAAACACACAATTCTTACAATAAAAATGTTGAACGTGGTACAGTTTCCCTAACCTCAATCATTATCATTACATCACTAAATCCAATAATAATATTACATAATTTTCATATATACACTTTAAATACACATACAGTATAATCCATTCCTTATTCTCATATTGACTGGAAACAAAGTCATCCATAGTATGATAAAGTATTAAAAACCCCAATAAATGCTTACCTTAGCTCTGAATTAATATACTCTTAATACAATAAAATAGATGTTCAAAGGTATTTATTTCTTGGAAATAGTTTCCAAATCTTCTCAAAGTCTGGTATTTGGCTCCAATTATAGTGACTGGTGATGTATCAGCAATGCTAAAAAGCTCCTATTACTACTAATGATAAAAGCATAGGGATGTACTGATTATGTGCCATCAAGTCATTTGCAACTTTTAGCAGCAACACAAGATTTTCTCCATGATGATCTGTTCTTCACCTGGTCTTTCAGGTGTTCCAACAGTGTAGTCACCACCACTGTAACTGAATCCATCCATTATGCTCCTGGTTGTTGTCGTTGTCTTCTCTTCTCTTCCTCCATTCCTAGCATGAGAGCCTTCTCCAAAGAGACAGATCATTGCACAATAGGTCCAAATTAAAATACTATGAACCTGGTAATGTGTGCCTCAAGTGAGAACTCTAAATTGCTTTGTTTGCTGATCCATTGGTTTCTTTTCTTGACTGTCTATGGTATTCTCTGGAGTCTTCTTCAACACCAAAGTTTCAAAGTGTCAATGCGCTGCTTAATTACGCAGTTCTGTTATTGGTAGCATTTACTGGTAAAGATTAAGCTTCTAGCCCTAAATAAAAGGGAATTCTATCTTTCCCTTAAATTTTGGCTCTAAGGAGCTCCATGCTTCCAATCTACCAGGAATCATTTTTAAGGTGCTCACCTGACAACTGTCCCTAACATCACAGTACGGAAAGAATAAATAGATAATAGCTTGTTAAGTATATTCCCTTGCCTGTCAACTATAGAAAAGTGTATAAAATGAAGGGCTTGTGTGAACAATTTCAAGATACATTTGCTCTAAATATTTATTTTGACAAAATAACTCCACAATCTGATATGAGAGCCTGTTGTTGTATGATTAATAATTAATTCCAAACCCAAAGTTGGGTAATTCTAACAAGCCTATAAAATCAAACTGTAAGCTGGATTCAACCTGAAATATTCTAAGAAAGCACTCTAATCTTTAGCCATTTGTATTTCCATTCAAATCCAACACAGAATAATCTAGAGCAGGGATGTTAAACTTAAGGCCCACAGGCTGAATTTGGCTCAATCAATTTGGCTAGATCCCTGTTTGACTCCTCCCCCTGGCTCTGCCAGTCTCTCTCTAACATTGGATTTTCTGTCCAGGAGATGTCAGAAAACATATTTTTATGAGGTTAAGTTGAGCACTCAAGATGTGTTGTGATTCAAGTTGGCAGTCGAGTCAGATGAGTCAGAGGAGATGGAGGGGGTGCTTTGGTCTCCATCGGGCCTTGCAGAAGGCTCTGAGGAGCAGGAGGTCTCGGAGCCAGATGCAGAGCAGGGCCCATCTACTCACACTCAGGTGGAGAGACAGGCACCCCCGACACGAGTGACGTCGAGCTGGCTATGCCCACCCTGGCCACCCACTCCCGCCCCCCCCGAGGTCAAACACAATCCTCATGCGGCCTCAATGAAATTGAGTTTGACACCCTTGACTTAGAGGATGTGCAAATTCAATGGGCCTTATTTGAGTCTTCATCACCTGATTTTCTACTGAGTCCTTAAGTCTGTGCTCCATATCAATGATCTATACATGTCATTAAGAAAATCCTTTTATGGGACAATAAGCCGAATTACTACTTTCTACACTTTTATTGGGGAAAAAGGCACCTCTCCATAGCAAAAGTGAAGGACAAGTAACAGATCACATTATTTCTTATCTTAACTGAGTAACTAAACAGTGTACATCCTGCATCGTGTTGTTCATATTTGAGATCAAAGTCACTTCCATGTAGCTAACAGGCCTTTGGGGAAGAACTCTTCAATGCAGGTTTAGAATTGATTATCTTATCCAACTAATATTTAAAAGAATTATTTAACAATCCACCAATCTGAAGCTTGAATAAATTCCCCCGTGGTCATGGTTCCCTTTTTGTTTCCTGTTTATTTTAGTGCTGATCATAGGTGCTGTATTGTTGATGTGATTTTTTTTTTAAACCAATTGGGGCTTGTGTTCTTCCTAAAAAAAATGGCTCCCACTTAGGGATGGATTCTTCCACTTTGGCCCAGTAAAGAGTCTAGGGAAACAAAATATAACATGATATGCAATTTAACTGCTTTACAGTATAACCTATTATTTACCAGCACAACAGCAAAAGGATATGAACATATGAAACATTTTTACAGCTTGCTTTGTATTTGAAGCAATTCAGAAAAGGCCAAACTACTTAGTTGCTAAATCTTAAATCCCTCAATTATACAGTATAATGGAGATTGAAGGATCTCACTACCTAGAGTAAATATGCTATAATTGGATGTGCCCTCTTGTGGTGAATAAAGTATTAGACAGGTAATCCTTCAATTTCATAATTGTTTCTTTCAGGCAGATAGCAGTTTTTTTCTGAACCAGAATGTTATTTCCAAACATTTTTATTAAAAAAAAATCTTGTCCAAAACATTATTCAGAGGCTAAAAATGGTTTGTCATTTACATAAGCACAGTCATGAATTTTATTGGTTTAAAGAATGTTTATGTTCTTTAAATCTACAATGTCAAGGGAATAGTACAAACCCGTTTAAGGTTCTGTGAGGTTTGCTGCATGAAAAACTGTGATAATCTGGGATCCACTTTTAAAATGTAGATCTTGACATTGAAGAATAGGTCCTCTTGTCCACTAAATACAGACTTGCTCTAATATCACTAGAATTGAGTTATTATTACCTTTTTTCCTCACTTTTTTTTCTTTCAGTTTCAGAGGGCAATAAAATAATCTCAGTTAAATATAAATCTCAAAACCAGAGCATTGGTGCTGGTGAAAGAGATCTTGCTTTATTCAGATTTCTGCTTAAAAATTATTTATGAAGGTTACCCAAACAAATATTCATTTGCTGCTCAACAAACAATAGCCTAATGTTTTAAACTAATAAATATTTCTTCCTTGAAGAATTACCTAAACCATCAGTCTCATCCTTCCTCTCTCAATAACTCATTTTTTTTAAAAAAAACAAAACAGTTTTTCTGCATTCCCATTTCTAAACTGTCTTCACTTGTCAATCATTCTTATTCCATTTTCTTCCTGTCCGTCATTGTTGCTCTCATATTTCTTGTGCAAAACGCATCAAATTTTTGCAGTTGTGAAAATGCTGATTCATCCTCAAATATATTGCCTTTAGCTTTTGAAGTATTTAGAGCTAGACGGGGTGGGGATGATGTCCCTCTTCTCTCTATAGTTCTGAATTTCAGAGGAAGCATGGAACTAATCTCTTTTTATTTATTTTTTATTTGATAGATTTTTAAAATCTCACCTATAACACAAGGCAGAAAACATATCTAATACTCCTTCTATTTTTCCCACAAATAGTAACAGTAACCCCAGGTGGGGCTCAGAGAGAGTTGACTGGCGCGGAGTCACCAAGCTGGCTTATATGCCCCAAATGGGTCAGAATTCACATTTTCCTGGTTTCTAGGCCAGCACTTTAGACTAAACTGTCTATGCTTATATTTTACATGCTAAGATATTTCTGAAGCACAATATGGTATATGATTGAATTTTAGCACTGTTTCTAAACGTGGAAATGTGGGAGAGAGCAAATAATTGTACCATTGACGTGATGTTTTGGGGGGTCCATTTTGGGGACCTTCAAAATGTAACACAGTGCAACTGAGAGGCCAAAGCTGAAACAAATAGTATAGCCATTTTTCTACAGTACTGGTAGTCCTTGAGTTACGACCAGAACTGAGCCCAAAATTTATATTGCTAAGTGAAACATTTGCTAAGCGAGTTTGCCCCATTTTGCAACTTTTCTTGCCCCAGATGTTAAGGGAGTCATTGCATTTGTTAAGTTAGTAACATGGTTGCTAAGTGAATCTGGCTTCCCCATTGACTTTGCTCATCAGAAGGTCGCAAAGGCTGATCACATGACCCTGGGACACTGCAACCGTCATAAATATGAAGCAGTGGCCAAGTGCCTGCATTTTGACCATGTGACCATGGGGATGCTGCAATGGTCGTAAGTGTGAAAAAAGGTCCTAAGTCACTTCTTTCAGTGCCGTTGTAACTTTGAACGGTCACTACATGAACTGCTGTAAGTCAAAGACTTCCTGTACAAGGGTTTTTTTTAAAAAAAGAATGGCTTTTATTTATCCTGATGAAAAAAGTCCTAATGCAGCTAGTCTTTCCCTTACAACTATTCATTTAATGGCCATTTGAATGTACAGTGGCCCAGAAAAAAGTGACTTATAACTGGTCCTCACACTTATGACTATCACAGCATCCCCATGGTCAGGTGGTCAAAACTGAGGAACCTGGCATGTTGTTATGACTGCAGTGTCCGGGGTCAAAGGATCACCATTGGTGATCTTCCCAGCCAGTTTCCAACAAGCAAAGTTGATGGGGGGGATACTGGATTCTATCGATGACCCCATGATTCACTTAGCAGCTGCAGTGATCTGCTTAACGACCATGGCAAAAAGGCTGTAAAAATCAAGTGCAATTCTCTTAGCAATCACATTGCTTAGCAACAGCAATGTGGTCATATGACGAGGACTATCCGTATATAAAATGAGAGGCTGGAAAAATCTTGGAAAGCTTTCCGTTCTCACAATGAACATTAAGCTGAAGTGACAGGATCTGATACTGAACTGAAATTAGGAGATGGCCTTTCTTTTGATAAAAGGGGGCTTGAAAGAGTACTGAAGACATAATAATCATTGGCTTTTTTTTTAAAAAAAAAGACTAATTTCATTTAGCAGCAAGATGAAGAAAAGAACTGAAATATCAGCATTAAAGACAATATAATTGTTTTGGACTTACTTCAAGGTTAACAATTTCAGGGTGGAGAAGTAAGTGCTCTCTGAATTGTAGATTTTTCGCTGCCGCTTCAATATCCTGCAACATACAGAGAATCTTTTGAAAAGACGGACGCTTGCAGAAATGACATCCACAATTCATTTTCCTTTTTAGTAGCTATGAAAATAGAAGTAATATTCTAAACCATACACGTTGCAGCTAATATTCACACCCGGAAATATAGGTAAAAAGTGACAGATTTATGTCCTAAGTTGCTTACGATTTAAAGAGAGAAAGAAAAGGGGGAAATCCACCCCCCTGTTCATCAGTATGGCATTTATTAGGTCAGTTTCACAGATTTCCAATAGGTTTCTAAGCTTTTTAAACCCCCATGTGATTTAAGACTAGTATATTTATTAAATATATTAATTTATGAAATACAATGGATGAAACTAAAGCTTCAGCTAAACTGCCCACTAGGTTCTCAAGGGAAACCCTAATGCTGGCTGAGGAATTCTGGGAGTTGAAGTCCACAAGTCTTAAAGTTGATAAGGTTGGAGAACTCTGCCCTAATAGACACAATCTTTAGCAGGAGGGTTGTGCTAGTGAGCTGAAAGGCAATTAGAAAGATGCTGGCTAGTGAATTCTGGGAGATAGAATAGAATAGAGATGTTAGGGACCTTGGAGGTCTTCTAGTCCAGCCCCCTGATGAAGAAGAAGTCCGACGGTAATGTCTTCTAAAACCAAATCACATCACAACTATATCAAGGCATAAACTAGAGTTAAACTGCAACCTCTGGCATATGCCAGGCCTTCAGTGATTTGGAACAGGTTAATGTCTGCTATGGAGGCTATAAACTCTTGATCCCAACGGCACGAAGATGACAAATTAAAGTTCTCCAAGGGTCTCAGGGTCTCTACAGCCATACTGAAAATGAAATGCAAAAGCTCCGACAAGGATGAAGCTGTGCAACATCAATGATAGCACACTAATAAAAAGCTCAACTGTTCCTTAAATGAATTAATAAATACAAATTTCAGCTATCCCAATTTGGTCAGTTAGGAAAGAAAGACTCTCGAGTCCATTGTCAGAGAAAGTATACATTACTAAAGCCACGTGGTTCCAGTGAAGCAAAGCCAGATCTAAAGTTTCGAGCCCTAAACTTCTGGTTAACTTTTCCCTCTTCCCACTTTTTTTTTTTGGGGGGGGGGGGGGGACAGTCCCTTGCTTGGTGGGCAAATTGGTGGCCCATTCTATGGTATAACCTTGGAGCTGCTGGCACCCTAGATGGTACAAAGTTTAGTTTTGATTCCCTTTATGCTAGCCCGCTCCTTCTTATCCCACCCAGCCGCTCCCCACCCCCCCAAATTTTATAGCAGGATGGCAGTCCTGACAATAATAAAGAAAAAAAAAACTATTCCAGGGTGCCTAATCTGTTGGAGTCAGCAGACCCACAGGAAAGATTAAAAGCACATTACGTATTTTCTCACAAAACATTTCTTATTTTGCCCATTACTCCCCACAAACCACCTGTAAGAAAGTAAACATTTAGTTTGAACACAGGTCACAACATATGACACAAAGCACTTGGGTTGCCAAGGAATTTCTCTCTCACACACACACACAAAACGAAGCACAGGGCTGCAGTCCCCTTTCATTTTTACTTTCCAAAAATATTGCCGAGATATATGTAGCAAGAAAAGAATTTTTGGAAATAACTATTAGGCTTAAGACTGGTCCTCTTAATTATTTCTTGAATTTACATGACACTAACCCCAAAAGATGCACAACAGCTTACAACAAAATTAAAACGCCCACACTTAAAAAAAAAAGAATCTTTTTAAAAAAATGGTTTTCCTATCTAATAATTCCTGTTTCAAGCTGGGTTCGCAGGCACCTTTACAATCTGAAACTAATTCCACTGAGAAGTTGCCTGAAAAAGCACTTGCAATGTTTGTTGTCAAATTCTTTTCATCTTGTATCCTGTGTTTATGCTTTTGTTAAGAATGTATTTTGTCTGGAATTCTTCTACAGGATAATTAAGTAATGAAGCCTCCGCAACTGAGGGAGCATATAAACCAATTAAATAAACAAACCGCCTCAGAAGAGTGAAGTATAAATGCTAAGAAATAAAATATCTACAGGAAATAAAAGAGCAAATTCAGCTATAATTATGTAATTTTGAACTCCCTGCAGTTTAATGCAGCTTCAGAAACACATCATTAAATATACGTGGGAATTTTTTGCTCTAATTCAAAAGTGGATTTGCTCATCCAAAAAAGTTAAAACAATTTTTTAAAAAATAGATTAAGAACTATTTTAAACTTCTATCATAATTTTCATGAAATCTCTTACTTGTGGGAAATCAAAATTTAGCAGTGTAGTCAAACAGGGTTCTGGTGGTAGGAAAAAGAGACTTTGGAGGTATCATACAGCTGATCTAAACTTCAAATGTAATAATGTAAAATTTATTTTACATTTTTTTTACACACACACAAAAAAGCAAAAAATGTAAAATCTCTGAAACATGTAGTAATTACATGTTTCAGAGTTCAGACCTATTCTGTCAATAAGAGAACTAGTACAGTTGGAAAAGTGCACGAATCAGAAGAAAAAAAATTATGATTAATTATAAATGGTAAGTTTATTGAATTTGACTATGCTGGTCTAATGATTGGGTGCTTAACGATGGGGTGTCACCAGGAGAATGTCACAATAATTCACAGAAGAAAATTCTCAAAGGGATGTCCTGTAATTTCCAAACCATGGTGGTGCCACAGAATACAGATATTGTCATGGTCCTGGTGGAGACTGACTCTGAGGAAGAGGAGGAACAGCCAACATGGAGTAGAACTATGGCTCCAGATGTGGTGGTGGAGGCTGGGGAAAGGCAGAGGCCAGCTGAGCAGTCAGAGGAGGACCCAGGCCCATCCCCTATCCATCCTAGGGCACACAGGGAAGAGAGGATCAGGGTAAAACGTGGTCTACTCGGGAGGAGAGGGCCATGATCCTCTTCATGGGTTGCAGCTGTGAGATCTGCATAAAAGGTTAGACCTGCATGCTAACAGACACTGGAGACAAATTAGTGTTTTATTCCTAAAGAAGCTTTATCTTGGTTGGCATTCTTCCAGTGGACTGTACCTGGTTATCTTCCTGAAGTTAGCAATTATCTATCCTGGTCTGTCATGGAACTTTATTCAGTGCGGTTTGTTTTTGATTTTTGCTTTGTTATCGGCTCTTTGAATTTGAACTGTGTTTCTTTCCTTTGAAATGTTATTTTGAAAATAGTTTACTCCTCCACCGTGAACAATTAAACAGTGAAGCCAAATTGAAGGCATTAAAGGACTTTTAGTTATGTTTTAGGTTTTGTTATATTTCTGATATAATCTGGGTCATCACAGATATCGATAGATTTTAAAACTGCAAAGCTGGAATTAGTATAACAAATAGAGCAACTGTTTGGAATACAGTGTCAAACTCAAGGCCTGCGGCCTGCATTCGGCCCACAGGGTGCTTAGACTTGGCCTGCAGGGCTTCCCTGAAAACAGTGATGGACTGGCCTACGATGCCTCTGTCAGTGAAAATGGAACTCAGGAGAGCCTCACATGGCCCACCTGGTCTGTTTTCTATTGCAGAGGGCTGCAGAAGGTCATTGCATCCGAAAACAGCCTCAATGAGTGACGTGGAGCTGGCCACGCCTCCTGGCTACACCCCCCACCCCCAAGGTCAAACAGAACCCTGATGTGGTCCTCAATGAAATCGAGTTTGACATCCCTGAGTTAGAAAGAAAAGGTAGCCTTATGTAAAGACTGAGGAATGTGGAGCAAATTTACTGCAGGTGGAAATGAAAAAAAAAAATCACCATCCCAGAGATTTTCAATGTGTGTGTGAGGGACAGGAGGGGAAGAAATACAAACTAATATCCTCCTTCCCAAATACAGATAGTCCTCGACTTATCACACCACTAGGGCCAGAATTTCCATTGCAAAGCAAGTCAGTTGTTAAGTGAGTCATGGCCAATTTTATGACCTTTTTGCCAGGGCTGTTAAACAAATTGCTGCAATTGTTAAGTGAATCATATGTTCATTAAGGGAATCCAGCTTCCTCCATTGACTTGGCTTGTTGAAAGCTGGTTGGGAAGGATGCAAATAGTGATCACATGACCACCTGGTGCAGCAACCGTTGTAATTATATTTCCATTGCCTTTCTGAGCAAGTAATTATAGGAATGGTGTAATACATGATGTGCAAGGACAGGTCATACATTACTTTTTTTCAATGCTGTTGTAACTTTGAATGCTAAATGAACAGTTGTAAGTCAAGGACTACCAGTAATACAATCCAACTCACATTGAACTTAAGGTATCTCTTACAGGTGATACATAGCTAAATGTCTATGGAGATTCTCAGTCATCCAGGTCATGGTTGCCCCAAAGGTGCTTTTTCCAAGAGGCAATTGGGCTTTCTTGTTTTTCTCTGAAGACATTTCGCTTCTCATCCAAGAAGCTTCTTCAGCTTTTTCAGGCTTTCTCATCCAGTTCCAGTTCCCCCTTGAGAAAAGGACCTTTGAGAGATGATTTGCAAAGATATGTATTAAGTTCCAGCATTACTATGTCAGTGATGTAGTTAAGGGTTAAACTCTAGAACAGGAGTGTGAAACTCAATTTCATTGAGGGCCACATCAGGGCTGTGGTTGACCTTAGTGGACCAGGTGGGCAGCCAGCTTGATACCACTCACTGGACGTGGTTGACTGGGTGGGCATGGTCAGCTTGATACCACTCCCCAAACTGCTGGCATGTTTCCTCTTCATACTGGGTAGACTGGGCCAAAGCCACACGGGCTGGCTTCTTATATTTTCCAGGACGGCCCCATGGGTCAGATCCTGTTTGACACCCGTGCTCTAGAAAAATGTTTCTCAACCTCGGCAACTTTAAGAAACCTAGATTTCAAACCCTCAGAATTCCCCAATCAGTAGGCTGGCTAGGGAATTCTGGGAAATGAATTCCAGCCATCTTAAAGTTGCCTAGGTTGAGAAACACTGCTCTAGAAGCTAATTTTGTAATCCCAAGCCAAAAGCTGCAATCTTTCTGTAGCTACATGGTGGCTAGAAGGCAGCTCTGCCTGTGAGTGTTTCATATGATCTCTTATTAATATTATGTAAATACCTATTCTGGGG